AACTGCCACAAGAAAATCGCCCCAAACCATTTTCAAGTTCTTTGAACGGCCCATTCCGTGTTTTTGCTTTTAAGTACAACGCACTTGGATATAAACAAATACTGAAAGTTCAATTCGAAGGAGAAGAGGGGATGAAGGGCAGAAGGGAGAAGACACTGGCAAGAGAACAAACGAAAAAACAAAGAGAGGAGAAGAGACGAGGTGAGAGGAAAGGATGCGAAAGGAGAGTAAACGAGAGAAAGTGAGAGCGAGGGAGGGAGGGAGAAAGAGAGGAAGGGACAGGTGAGGAGGAGGGAGAAAGAGAGGAAGGGACAGGTGAGGAGGAGGGAGAAAGAGAGGAGGCAGGTGAGGAGGAGGGAGAGGAGAAGAAGAGAAGAGAGAGAGAGGAGAGAGAGAGAGAGAGGAGAGAGGAGAGAGAGAGAGAGAGAGAGAGAGGAAAGAGAGAGAGAGAGAAGAGAGAGAGAGAGAGAGAGAGAGAGAGAAGAGAGAGAGAGAGAGAGAAGAAGAGAGAGAGAAGAGAGAGAAGGAAAGAAAGAAAGAGAAAGAAGAGGAAGAGAGAGAAGAAAGAGAGGAGAGAGGAGAAGAGAGGAGAGAGGAGAAGAGAGGAGAGAGGAGAAGAGAGGACGAGAGGAGAGATGGAGGAGAGAGGAGAAGAGAGAGAGAGAAGAGAAAGGAAGAGAGAGAGAGACGAGAGAGAGAGGGGAGGAGGAGAAGAGAGGAGAGAAAGAGAAGAGAGGGGAGAGGAGAGAGGAGAGAGGGAGAGAGAGAGAGAGAGAGGAAGAGAGGAGGGAGAGAGAGAGGAGAAGAGAGAGAGGGAGAGAGAAGAGGAGAGAGAGAAGGGAGAGAAGAGAGAGAGAGAGAAGAAGGAGAAGAGAGAGAAGAGAGAGAGAGAGAGAGAGAGTGAGAGAGAGAGAGAGAGAGAGAGAGAGAGAGAGAAGAGAGAAGAGAGAGAAGTTCCGTGGAGATAGAATAGAGAGAAGAGGAGGAAGAGCGGAAGAGAGGAGAGAAGAGAGAGAGAGAGAGAGAGGAGGAAGAACTCAGAATCGGAGCGTCGCTTGCCGAGGACCTAGGCAGCGCCGTGAAGATAGGCGAGCGGAGCGGAAGCCAGAATTAGCGGACGCCTCGCATGTGTAACAGAACCTGGCGCAGGTGTCGGGCCATGATAGACAACTTTCCGGGTACAAGCGTGGCATCGTGGCGCTGGCCGGGTAGGACCACCTTCTCCACCCACCGCCGCAGAGGCTACTGGCTGGCTAAATATATTGTGACCTTGTAGGTAATACCCAGCAGAGCCATGTTGCGGACCTTGACTCGGGGAGGAGGGAGGAAGGGAGGGGGAGGGGAGGGTGGGGAGGAGGAGGAAGGAAGGAGGGAGGGGGATGGGGGGTGGGGAGGAGGAGGAGGAGGAGGAGGAGGAGGAAGAGGAGGAAAAGAGGAGACCTGTCAGAGTGCATGTTAACTACAAGCAGCGGAGTCGCGGCCTTCTTGCACGACCACCACCTCGCAGTCCAGTCTACGCTCACTCTGGAATGTGCATTAATTAGTGAGCGTGACGAGCAAGTGTACCGGCCCCGGCAGATGTTCGGAGGCCTTTCCACACGTGGCTGGCTCCTCTCTCTCTCTCCCCATCTCCACTCTTTTTCTTTTCCTCGATCACACCAACTACTGTTCTCTCTCTATTCCATCACGCTAACCCCATCTTCTCTCTCTCTCTCTCTCTCTCTCTCTCTTCTCTCTCTCTCTCTCTCTCTCTCTCTCTCTCTCTCTCTCTCTCTCTCTCTCTCTCTCTCTCTCTTTCTCTTCTCTGCTACCGCGCGCGCTGTGGCTCTACTTCAGTGACTCTTCAGCAATAAATCTCGAGCACATGCTGCTCCGCCTGGCCCCATCCTCGGGCTGTCGGGAGTTAACGTGGGACCGAAATGACGCAACTCCTCTCCGGGAACGCGAGGCACTGATAAACGGGAGGGAGAACGCGGAGGGAAGAGATCGAGATACAGTAATGCCGAGAGTAACAGCTGGGGTCTGCCCATCACACATGTCACCCGCGTAACGTCATGCCGCGTGGGGGAGGGGAGGGGGAGCGGGGGGCACATCTGGGGGACAGAACGCGACTTGCCAGGTGTCGCCACGTGAGACATCATGACCAAGCACTACATACGCCAAAGCCTTCCTCCCGAACAGCATCTAGCACACGTGTAAACATGTTAACGCACTCCGAGAGCTCTTGGCCGGTCGCTGCACTTCGCTCTTCGCTCGGCAATATTTAGCATAAGTGTTCTCACGTTTCCGCATGCCCTGGAACACAACACCAAAACAGTTTTGTTGTGTCTGGTGTTTGCACGGGTAAAATAGTATACAGCAACTCTCCGCTGCGCCAGATGGTTGCCGGTGCTGGCGGCTGTGCGATAATACTCAACCAAGTGGTCACACAGCTGCGTCGCTCACTGAACATGTTTCTCAATACTTGCTCAACACACCATTCATTTTCTCGGGCACAGACTTTCTTCTAAACACGTCCTGGGAAATACTAGTTGCACCACCTAAAATCCCCACGAGACGACAAGTGTGCGAGGGACGCAGAACAACTGCACTTCTACACCTACACAGCGAAGGCAGCCGCAGCGCACGCACATCTGTCGCGGCTCCCCACCCGCGACGTACTGGCAGCGCCGCCGCTGTACCTCTGCCACCCCACCACTAGGCACGTATGTATGGCAAATTATAATACGAACTGGACACCGGTTCGAACCACGGGGAAGGGGGAGGGACGGAGGGGAAACACGACCCAACACAGCCAAGTGTCGACGGGTGTGCACATCCTCACGCTTGTCCCAAACGTCACACTAATGTTCCCCTCGAGCTATTTCTTCTAGAGCGTGTTAGAGTCGGTAGCCTTAAAATCCACGAACGTGACATAACTAGCGACGGGCAGCCTGGCACTCCTCGCCCATAGCGGACGGCAAATCCTCCTAACCAGGTGTACTGTTTACGTTTCCAAGGTTCACAGAATATACGGGGGGGGGGGGGGCGTTTCGCTAATCCCTGCCTGCGTTCTATATATCACATTTAATCTTCTATTGGACCTGGAGGGCTTTGTTTAGTATCCCGAGAGGAGCATGGAGATGCTAGACCTTTCTGAGTACGGCGGGGTGCCATACTTGGTCTTGTTTAGCTCTGGTCGCACAACAGCAATTTTGATTACATCATTGCGCCCGACCATCTCCCGTTCCCCCGACCAAACTTGGTAAAATATACGACACATATATGTAAGTGCGTGCGTGAGGCAGTGTGTATGTGCATGTGTGTGTGTATGTGTGTATGTGTGTGTGTGTGTGTGTGTGTGTGTGTGTGTGTGGTGTGTGTGTGTGTGTGTGTGTGTGTGTGTGTGTGTGTGTGTGTGCGTGTGCGTGTGCGTGTGCGTGTGCGAGTGCGCGCGTGATAATATATGTAGCTAAACTTTTCAACTGCCTGCAATCACAAAAAATCGACATATCAACCCCTCTTCCCTGAATTGCACCCCTTCCCCACACTTTTCCAATCTCTCCCTCTCGCTCTGTCTCTCTCCCTTTCTCTCTCACGTAATTACTCTTTAACATATGGTCGCGCTAAAATAACTTCCGCCGCCGCCTTCCAGGACAGATGTCGGGGCGAGGTTCTCCGACGGCGCTGGCACGGCTCGTCAACTTCCCACACTTAAAAGCGAGTGGCGGTCGTTCGGCCCTTGCGATGAGGCAACTTCAGGTCCCTATTTTGTGTCTTTTAGAGGCTTCGGTAAGTGTCTTTTGGGGGGATTTGTGTCTTTTTCGGGGCATTTGTAAGTGTCCATTTTTAGGCGTGCCTTTTTCCAGCAATCGCGTTCATGAGCGGATACAAGTTCATATATAGAGACCTTCTTGTACACACGTATCGTATAATAAATACTTACGTGGACAAAAACAAACACGCACAAGCACACATACACTCAACACGATTAACACATGGTCCCCTTCCGCTCTACGCACGCCCCCCCCCCCTCAAAAAAAAAAAAAAAAAAAAAAAAAAAAAACACACACACAACGCACTCGTATCATCCCTCCACAAACACAACCACACGCACGCACACCAACGGACGCGTCGTTTGCGCCGCCCGACAAGGACTACACATGTCGTCGGCCGCGCCACCTGCGAACGACACATCTCAGGTTACCGCCACCGACGCCGCACCACACCCTGAAAGGCATCGAGGTGAACATGTGGGGCAGGTGCAGATGCTGCAGAGCCTCCATCGGATCACGTTCATCTTTCCCGTCTCTTCTCCTTTCTTCCCTTCTCCTCTCCTTTCCGTTTGTCTTTGGCTTTCCTCCCATTCGTCATACGTGTTTTATTATCTCGGAACCGAAAAAGTTTGTTTCTTATTTTGTTGTTCTTCCTTCTCCTCCTCTTATCATAATTATCATTATCACTTTCCTTATACTTATCTCATCTTCCCTCCAACTCAAAGAGACCAGAAAAGGCAAGAAAAAGGAAAGACACGGCCAAAGGAAAAGATAAACAGACTCGGGCGGGGAGGACGGGGTAGGACGGAGAGGGGAGGGGAGAGCGAGAGGACAGGGAGAGGAGAGGGAGAGAGCAGGAGGAGGGGTGAAGGAGAGGGATAAGGAGGAGGGGGGAGGGGGGGTCCTGGGCACGACACGCACATACTGTAGTCTCTCTCATGCAGGATCCGTCACTCTGTCAAGGACACGGCTCTCCTTTGTCACCAGCCATCCGCGACCTCTCCCGGCCGACTGTGCGCCACCTGTGCTCCCTGTGCCTCGGCCCTGCGTGCCACCTGTGTACCATCTGCCTCTTGGGCCTCCTTCACCTGCCGGTGCAGGCGGAGGAGGCCGAGGGCATGTCGGTGAAGAGAAACAGGTGCGGAGGGGGCGCTGGCGCTGGCGTGCGACAGGCTGACCTTGGCGGCTACGGGTGGCGGCGCAGGAGGGCCTCTACATCCTTCACAGCCATCACTAAGATGTTCTCGCCCGTGATACTGCCTCAAGGCCGCCTGCACCATCGCCTTCATGCTCTCTCCCGGCCCCTGTCCCTTCCCCTACCCGCCCCATCTCTCTCTCTCTCTCTTCCTCTCTCCCTTTGCATGTATTTATATATGTATTTTCGTATTATGTACGTAAGTACACACATACACATACACTTTCGCACGCGCGCGTCTAAATCCATCACCCACTGTAAGGCGTGCATGTACACACCCCTCTTTGTAACGTCCCTGCTCAGAGGTCAGGCTAGGCCAATGCGGCACAATAAGCAGCGTGCGAGAGCAAGAGCGAAGGGGCCTGGGAGACAGCATATGACTCTCGGACAAAGAGCAGTCCCGAGACGTGCCTCTGCAGTGTTATGGCTCTCTCACTCACTCGCTCGCACCCTCATGAATAAACACGTGTTCAGACCATGACAGGTGCGAGTATCATTTAGCAAAGGATCACCTGCGGGGCAAAGTGTGACATTACATCATGATGTGTGCGCGCGTTAAAGGGGAGACTGTGAGGGGATAAACAAAATGACAAACACATAAACATGAACAAGATTATATCAACGTTCTAAATATATAAAGGAGGGGAAGTCTACGCTATCAACACGCGTGCTCTTCGCCTACATGGGAAACCGAAAGGACAATATATATGCAAAAAAGCACAATAAATATAAAATCAAAACTAATAACAAACTATGCCTCTCCTACCAAGTATCTCGACGCACGCCAACGTTAAACACGCAGACCCAGACGCTCAAGTCACCCACCACACAACACGGAAAGGAAAAGAAAAGGACCTTCCCATCGAACTCCTTCCCGCGAGCTTTACTTCCCTGAGAGCCTCCTTCGCCCCTCCTCCTCCTTCCCCCCCCCCCCGTCTTCCAGTCTTCCTCGCGAGCGTCGGCAGGCAGGTGTTGGGTCCAAACACACACACCGGAAGCCTGCGGTGGCTCCACTCTCACGAAACTATTTCCCTCCGCGATTCCGCCTCTCTCAGCTGATAAACCCTGCGTAAGGAACCAATTAGGCTTGCCCATTCAGCCCTTTCATACAAATATTCGTTTACGTGGAGAGCAGGTGTGTTTGCATCACTCAGGTGCCCAGTTGCGAAGAGGGGAGACAGGAGGGGGAAAGAGAAAGAAGAAATGGGGACAGAGGGGAATACAGGGGTGAAAAGACAGACAATGGGGAAAAGAAGGGGTTAACTTGGGGAGGGGCGAAAGGGGTAGGTGTCCTTGGGGCGAGTTCATTATTCCCGCAGGTGGTAGCGCAGGTGTGAACGCGGGTGACGAGGAGATTGGGAGTAGAGGAGGGGAGGGGGGGGCGGGGGGGGGGGGTTTGTGGTCGTCCTCGTCCAGGTCACCGACACCGGAACACTCCCTGAACTCCCTCCCCCCTCCCCCCTCCTTCCTTTTCCCTACATAACTACTGCGCGACGGGGAATAGGGGGTTGGGAAGGAGAGAGAGCGGGAGGAAGGAGAGAGGGTGGGAGGAAGGGTAGAGGGGGAAGGAGAGGGGGAAGGAGAGGGAGGGAAGGGGAGGGCGGGAAGGAGTGGGTGGGGAGGGGGAGAGAGAAAGGAGGAGGGGAGGTGGTAAGAAAGCCTCAGGGAGTTTCCCGCGCTCGCATAAACCATCGGCACATTCTAGGACTTGAAAAAAAGCGACAGATGTGTGCAACGACTGACCCGGCACCCCCCCCCCCCATCAACGAGTTCCGAGAAACAAACGCAAACACCGAACAATACGCTACAAACATTACGATTTGCAGTAGAGTTCTATTTTTGTGAATTCAGAGAAAAGGCGACTAGCGATTTGCGGCACCGGAAGGCAACACACGGTAAGCGTTCGGCGGCAGAGGACTTGGAGGAGTGAAAGGGGGTCCACCGTCGCTCCGTGAGAAACGTCGCTCACGCACTCACTCGTTCCTCGCTCACGCTCACGACTCACTCGTTCCCTCTCGCTCACGCACTCACTCGTTCCCTCGCTCACGCACTCACTCGTTCCCTCGCTCACGCACTCACTCGTTCCCTCGCTCACGCACTCACTCGTTCCCTCGCTCACGCACTCACTCACGCACTCGATCACTCGTTCCCTCGCTCACGCACTCACTCTCACGCCACTCACTCGTTCCCTCGCTCACGCACTCACTCGTTCACTCGCCAAATCATGCACACACTTGCTGGCACTCGCTCACACATCAGTGATTAAAATCATCTATACAATGATAGCGAATAAAAAAATTGCAGTTTTAGCAGCAGCAAACGGAATTTGGTTGTGATATTGCGTATAAGAATAATGGCGGCACTGGGGGTGGTAATTACCCGAAACGCATCTTCCTCCGCCAGAGCCTTTCCCGAAGCAACTTCTCCCCGGCAAAACTTCAGACTTGGGCGGGGTGGGCGGGGTGGGCGGGGGAGAGCGCGTGACTTGGGGAGCCTCCGCAGCACGCTCACGCCCGTCCCG